TGCAGAAGGTCTTGGACAGGTTAGAAGAGTGGGCATTGAAGTGGGAAAGTGAAGTTATGCACTTTGGTAGGAAGAATAGAGGCTAAGACTAATTTCTTAGTGGGGAAAAGCTTTTGAAATATGAAGCACAAAAAGGATTTAGGAATCTGCTTTCAGGATTCCCTTAAGGCTAACATGCAGGTTCAGTTATCATGACAAAAAGCAAATGCAATGTTACTATTCATTTCAGGAGGACTAGAATATGATAGCAGTGATGTACTGATAAGATGGTACAAGGTTCTGGTTAGACCGTATATGTTTGAAATATTGATCAGTTGAGCAGTTCTGGGTTCCATATGTAAGGAAAGATATGCTGATGTTGGGGTTGAGGGGAGGAGATCCAGAGGAGATTTGAGAATGATCCCAAGGATGATGGCTTGTTGTATGAAGAAGAGTTGAGGACTCTGGGTCTGTATTCAGTGGAGTTCAGATACTGAGAGGTCTGGATAGAATGGAAGTGGAGAAGATGTCTTTACCAGTGGGAGAGACTAGAACCTGAGGGCAGTGAAGGGGCCACCTTTTTAGAACAGAGATGAGGAATTTCTTCAGCTAGAGGGTGAGGAGTCTGTGGAACTCCATTGCTGAAAAGGGCTGTGGAGGTCAAGTTTATTTAAGACAGAAAGGTTTTTGATTGGTAAGGGCATCAGTGATTTTGGGAGAAGGCAGGAAACTGGGCTGAGAAACATCAGTCACGATCACATGGCTGAACAGCCTAATTCTGTGCCTATCTCTTATGGTCACTTTGATCCCTGCTGTTGCATATCTGGCTAACTGTTTAATCCAAAGGTAACTCGAACTTCTGTGATTTTGTGGCGCATGCTTTAACCTTGAGACAGCAATTCATGGCATCAGCCTTAATTTTGCTCCTAGTTGTGTAATATGTGATTCATCCCACCACCTTTTTATAGCCAACTCTGATATTTTCTGTATCTGTCATTGCAAATTGGCTCTTTGGTGTTCTTTGTGCAACCCGATGGGATAAATCATTTCATTCTTTCCTCCTATTCAAACCATAATTGAAAATGACAATGCACAAGTCATATAGTTTGCTTTAGCACTGTTTACACACAATCTGTCATTGAAATGCTAGAAATATTCAGACAGCATGTGTTGGAGAAGAAAAAAGACTTGATGTTTTGAGCTGATGAATATTTTCACCAGGAAATCCTTTGGAAGGAGGCACAATGGTAACTTGATGCAAAAAAACTTCAGACCCTGATTTGTTCATTCACTTTGTAGATTGCTGAAACATTGTAGTTTTGTGGATAATAGAAAATTATATCTAAATTAGCACTATTGCATTTAATGGAGAAATAATTTGCATTTTTCTTCTAAGGTCATTTATGTTTATGGCATTGATTCTTTTGATACTGCAAAGTTGGAGAAGCTAGATGTGCTCAGCAATAGCTCTAACTCAGTATATGGTAATATGCATAAATTAAGCTGTGGAAATGTCACTCTTACAAGTAGTACTGGAAACTCAGTGAATGAAGCCAAACATTTGGGAAGTCAATTTGGACAAATAATTTGAACTAGAACTATGTATGTCTACTGAGATGAGGTATGCAGAAATCATTCTCACTGTTCTGTAAAGTGCCGTATTGGTCTATTTTCAGCAATGCCCCGTTTTTGGAAAGATCTATTTTAAACTACTGATTTTAAAAAAAAAAAACACTTTCATGGTTGTATGATGTTTTAGTTTTCTGACCATGTATCGTTTTGTAGTAATTCATTTTCTCCAAAGCTTTTAAACTAGGAATTGATCATTACCTGTGCTTTTAAAAACAAAGTGTAAGAAGCCTCAAATATTAGATTTTTAAAAACACTTTCTCAGATGTGGCAGGTTTTGGACAGTAGTGAGATTGAAAGCCCCAGTTTTAATTGACAACTTCTGAACTGCAAGTGTGAATTTTCTAATTGATTTTATTTTAAACTAGATCTAAAACATTTATTTTTAAATTGTTACTAAAAGCCATAATGGATTCTCAACCTTAAGCACCAGAAAAAAGTGAAAGTCTAATGCAAATACTTTAGTTTTGGTTGTGCATTTTTCCTTTTAGAATTAATCAATTTGTTTCTCAAATCAAGAATAAATTTAAAAATAATTGCTTGTCTCTCCAATGTAAATGCTGGTTATAAACCCGAACAATGTTTTTGTGCTTGTCAATGACAGTTGCTATCATGCTCATTGGAATAATAACTTTTTTCCCCACAATGGAAATCTGAAAGTGTATTAGATTTTAGAAATGCCAGTGGGTTGAATCCAAGAACAGTGTCTTGTTAAATACCTTATGTTCACAACTGATGTAACAAGGTTTTTCAGTTTAAATCATTGCTTTTATGCTCATTTATCCTGAAATGTTTTAATTTCACAGCAAAATAAATTTCTGATTTATGTATTTGGGGCTTTTTTATTGGTAGTTTCCTTGATTCAAATTGTGCTAGAGTGTTCTGTGACTTTGATACACGGTCAGTAAGATCCGAAAATGCCCATCTGCTGGATAAAAATTAGTAAATGACAGTCTAGTGATTTAATAGTCTTACTGTACTAAGAATTTCAGTAAATAATCAATATGTAATGCGTGAACTGTAATATGTGAGAGTTCTCTGGCATAAGAGAACTTCAGATAGCTTTGAGCAACTCACCATGTGATGATAAAACTACCAAAATGACTAGACTGATCAAAAAATCCATAAACTGAGGCAGTGTATTTTTGGAGAATGAAGGAAGTTGGAAGTGAAAATGAAATTTTGCAGTTGTAGTTACAATAGTTTGCTCATTTATAAGAATTTTGGTCTGAGTATTATTTGTTTGGAGATGGAAAATAAAGTTGTGGTTTACACTAAAAATTTAAGTTATTATTCTTTTTAAGTTAATTCTAATTGATTGCTGAGAAGTTGTGTATAAAATTGGTTCTACTGATGGTATTGCACAAACCGCCTTGCTATGCATATTTGAGATGGAATCCTAGCGTAAGAATTAATGCTTTGTCCTGGATGTGTATATTTGTATTTGGGTGTTTAGTAAAATTTTAATGTCCCATGTGGTTTGAGTATGTTGATTTGAAGACCTCTGGCTAACATTATCATATGTTATCCAAGGGTTTGCATTGGCTTCACAGTAATGTAAATTGACCATATTTTATATTTTCTATCACATTAGAGCTGTGTTTTGTGCTCTGTCCAGCTAAATGCATTTCCCAACTCAGTCAGTCCTTGTCTAGCATTTTAGTGAGCTCAGTAATCACCTTCATTTGCTTAAGCCTGCTGTATTTTGAACTTTTCCTACGTTGTCATCAAAGGTCATTGACCTGAAATGTCTGCAGTGATTCACCGTCTACAGATGCTGCCTGATTTGAGTATTGTTTTTGTCTTTTTATCTTTTAAAATTTTGGTTTGGAACTGGCATGAAAATGACCATTAGACTGTAGGCAACAGCTTGTCTTTAAAATTGAGAGTGCAAGCTGGTTGAGAGGCCAGTCCTGGAAGTTAATGGCAGGATGGTTCTTGATTAAAAGATTCTATGGATGTTTTGACAATGCGGGGAGAGGAATAATTGATATAGGTAGCAGATGTTGCCCATTAACAAGGTCACTACCTGATAATTGGTTCCAGCAAGTCCTGAGATGTATGCTCAAGCAGATGACATGCTGAATGGTAACTAGGACTTTGTGGGGAAACTGTCCCTCTGACAGGGAGAGGCCAGGGTGTTAAATTGCATTTTGGATTCAACCTTCTTATGATGCTACATGAAGGTTGGAAATCTTCCTGGAATTTCAAGAGGTAGAACTTGTTACAGACACAGGCTTCAACCCAGTCTGAAGTGCTGGACGTTGGCCTTTAAGGGATTATGTCAGAAAGCATCTATGCATGAAAGCTGGTTGAAATCTGGAATCGACTCTTGGTCAGATTTCAAAACTCAGATTGCTGCATTTTTGTTCCGGAACGGTATTGAGGAATACTGAACTAAAATGTACAGATTTGGTGAAGATACAGATTAGCTATGATCTCTCTAAATTGTTGTATTGGCTCAAGGGACTTAGTGGTTTACTTTATACGAGCTAATGTTGTTCTGGTGTTCAACAGTTGATTGATGACATCCTTCTATTATTTTGACATCGTGTTAGTGTTAAGGTATACCCTATGGATTTCCGGTAGACACTTCTATGGCTGTATCATCCAGTGAATATGATTTTGTGATGAAGATGTCATCCCTCTGCATTTGAGTTTTAATATTGTTCTGTTACATTATCCCTCATGATGCTTATCACTGAACTACTAATCCAGTTAACTTTGATGTAAATCTGATATTTTTGAACTTCATTGTATTATACTGTGTACTTTTTTTAAGTAAGTGGTAAAGTTGCCATTGTCCCAGAGGACCATCTGGGTGGCACGATGGCTCACTGGTTAGCACTGCTGCCTTAGAGCGGCAGGGACCTGGGTTCGTTTTCCCCCCTCTCTGTCTGTGTGGAGTTTGTACATTCTCCCCGTGTCTGCGTGGGTTTCCTCTGGGTGCTGCTGTTTCCTCCCACAGACCAAAGATGTGCAAGTTAAGTGGATTGGCCATGCTAAATTGCCCATGTCCAGGGATGTGCAGGTGCTAAGTGGAGTAGCCATGGGAAATGAAAGGTTATGGCGATAGGTTAGAGGTGTGTGTCTGGGTGGGATGCTCTTTGGAGGGTTGGCATGGACTCCATGGGCCAAATGGCCTGCTTCCACACCTTGGGGATTCTATGATCCTATCACCATAGGGCTGCACACTCATTAGAGAGAGAGAAAGAGACGACTGGTGATATTTGAACCTGAGAGTCATTATGCCTCTGGCAAGGGGGCAATGTTAAGACTGGACCTTGGTGATCAGAAGTCTTTTCAGCTCCACTGTTTGCTGAAGCTGTAGAAAAAGCATTAATTGTTTCTAGGTGTTGTATCTGGTTCCATTATTTACCTTATTTTTCTAGCTATTACAGGACCCACATCCAGGAAAGTGGAAGAAAGTAATCCCCAGTCAGAGGGGCCTGCCAGAAAGGGAGATAACAGACTGCAGGTTAGGAGTGTTTGCCTTTCAAAGTAGATGGTACAGTCAAAATGCGTTTCTTTTTCTGCACTGGGAAATCCTCAAGGAGTGGCACGGTGGCTCAGTGGTTAGCACTGCTGGCTCACAGCGCCAGGGACCCGAGTTTTATTCCATCCTCGGGCAACTGTCTGTGTGGACATTCCACGTTCCCTGTGTGTCTGCATGGATGTCCTCTGGTTTTGTCCAACAATCCAAAGATGTGCAGTTTAGGTGGATTGGCCATGATAAATTACTCCTAGTCTCCGGGGGTATGGAAATAGAGTTACAGGGATAGGGTAGGTCTAGGTGGTTTTCTGTTCAGTGTGGACTCAATGGGCCAAATGGCCTGTTTCCACACTCTAGGGATTCTATGATTAGGAGATTCTCTTCCACATTTTGTCAAAAATTTTAAAGTCAATATGCATTTGTGATATCAATGTGCCAGTGCCGATTAGATTGAGAACCACTTTTTCTTGACACTAATCAATGCAGGCCTTGTGCAGGCAAACATAAGAGGAACTATACAGAGTCATGCTGTGACTGGACAGTTTGTTTTCCATCCTGAAATGACATGCCAAATTTTTTTATCGACTGTTAGACTCAATGATGCCTTCATCCTTAATGACCAAGTTAGGTGGACCTTTTTTTTTTTGTGAAGTAGTTGCTGGCACTTAGTGGTAGGGTGTGGCATCCAGCACTAAAGTGTTACTGTCCAGAAGATATCCAGTGTATTGTGCTGATGAGCAGCTGCATATCTAAAAAACAGATTGGTCAAAAATGAAAAACCTTACTTAAGAATCTATTTTGTATGAAATATTTGTACATAATTTCTTTGTATGTTTAAATCATTAATCATGAATTGTAACATGAGATGATAAATGGGACTGTCAAACACAATGGAATAAATGTATTAAAATAAATTTAACTGTCCTCCTGGTGCTCTGGTTCTCCATGATTTATTAAAGTTTACAAATCAGTGCAAATATAAAAATTTGGTGCCAATTGTGTGGTTTTCACTGCAGTATTAGATAATAAATATTTGATAACTAAAACATGACCTTTTTTATGTGTTCTCTATATTAGTGTAAGATATACAGTATTCTTTTTCCTGCATTGTCATGGTTATTAATGTGGAAGGAAAATCTATTTGAGTTGGTGGACATAAATTTTAAATACTTGTAAAATGTGTTCAGAAGTTGAATGTATGTCCGTGTACGTTTCTATAATTAGATGACTGTTATTAATTGCCATCTGCAGGTGGGGTTCTAAAACAGCAGAATGTGTTGAAGAGAATTAGCTTGGGTTAATCGTGGGATCTGTGAACTGCTTGCTATGGAATAGGATTGGTAAAAGCCTAGAGCGAGCCTGTACCTTGTGCATCTTCAAGTCTTATGTGGGGACTCAAAGGAATAACTTCAGATTGCCAGAGAGAGAAAAAGTTTCTTGTCTTGTAAAAATTTTGATGCAGCCAACAGCACTAACCCAGTGCATATTGTGGAGTTAAAAAACATTCTCAAGTCATAATTGCACAAGCTGTGCCCACTTGCTGAAAAGTTATCTATCTTTCTTCATTAGGAATACTCTGCTGAGCCATTTGAAGATGGTGAAGCCTGATCTTCACACTCTGGCTCATCACCTCAAGCAAGAGCGTCTTTATGTGAATTCTGAAAAGCAGTTGCTTCAGCGATTAAATACGGATGTATTGAAAACTGCTGAAAAGCTGTACTGCTCAGCATGGATCGCAAAACAGCAGCGAATTAACCTGGACCGTCTCATATTAACAAGGTGAAATCAATATGGGTGCAGGTTTAGAATTATGGACATGCAAAACTGCAATATGAATAAAAAAAGATACAAGACTGAATTTCACTTTAACTAATTCAGTGTTCAGTGCCAGATACCTGATAAAGCACTGGCATTTTGCTTGTCAACATTCATTGGTTTGTGGATAGCCAAAATTAAATGTTTAGATTTAAAGTGGTTTTTAAATATGTACCAGTGATAGTGTTCTAGAAAATCTTTTTACTCAGCTGATGCATTATGTTATTATAGCATGCAGTTACTGGAATGCTTGATGAGCTTTTGGTCTTTTTTCCTGTAGAACAACTCCTATGGTCCTATTAAACTTCTATCCAGCTCAAGTAGATTCCTTGGCAATTGTAACAACAGTAATTATGAAATGAATGATTGCTAGTTCCAATTGCTAATTAACTTTGACCACAACTAACATGAGGCCAATTAAAGAACAATGTTACCAGTTCCACAAAAATTGCCATGCACAAACATGGGGCCAAATACATGAAGATGTTTCATTATGTTTGCGTTATAATTTTTTCAAGCAATGACAATTCCTCTGACTCTAGTTATAGAGTCATAGAGCTGTACAGCACGGAAACAGATGCTTCAGTCCAACTCATCCATGCTGACCAGAGATCCTAAATAAATCTAGTCCCATTTGCCAGCATTTTGCCCATATCCCTCTTAAACCCTTCCTGTTCATATCCCCATCAAGATGCCTTAATAAATGTTGTAATTGTACTAGCCTCCACTGCCACCTCTGGCAGCACATTCCATATACACACAACCCTTTGCATGAAAAACTTGCCCCTTAGGTCCCTTTTAAATCTTTCCCCTCTCACCTTAAACCTATACCGTCCAGTTTTGGACTCCTCTACCCTGGGAAAAAGACCCTAGCTATTCACCCTATCCGAATCTGAATTTGGCTAAGCTTTGGAATTTTGTTTCCTTTGAAATTACGTTACTACTTCTCCTAAGCCTGCTGATTTACATAAAGCAAATTGCTGGCAAAACTCAAGGAATCCTGGCAGCAGAGGGAAACAAAGTAAATGTTTCAGGTTTGCACTTGCAACTGTAACTATTTTTCTCTCCACACATGCTGCCTGATCTTCTGAGTTCTTTTAGCATTTGTTTTCATTTTCAATCTCAAGCAACTTTAGTATTTTGTTTTCATTCCATTAATCTTTATTACCTTTTGTTAGTAGTTTTGAGAAGCATTGCAAGCGTCTAATGGTGCTTTGCATTTTAAATATTGATACAAAATGGCATTATAAGATGCATCATTGCTTTATATGATAGGAACATTCTATTTGTCCATCTGTTTAAAGCATTTATATCGTCATATTTGTAACCATGGGAGTTGTCAAATCATTTGAAAACGATTGGTACTTTTGGATAGTGTGACTAGATGAAGGTTTCTTGCGTTATTATTTGGGAACTTGAGTTCCAAAAGTAGAGAGAAATAGTTTTTGATTTTCAGTTCTATGAAGGTGACTTATTTGAGTCACTTTTTTGAAGTGGATCAAAAATGATATTTCTCAGAAAAATGTGACTTCAACGAAATGACTAGACAAGCTACCTACTTCAGATCATTGTTGAAATGTTTACTAAGCTGGGCTTTATGATCAGAAAGTGCGATCCAGGCATGACTTGGGTCACATTTTAGAAGAAAAGATCCATACCAATGGATATGCTGTTTACTAACCTAGAATAAGTCAAAATAGCTGAAAAAAACTTGCAATTTATTGAAAAATGTCAGTTAGTCTATGATGTATGTCTCCAAGAATAATGAAGAAAATCACATTTGGTGAAGGAGTAGAAAGCTGTCGAAGGAAATGCTTGAGACCTCGTCAGTTGAATAAGAAATTAAAGTGAAGATAGGAGAGACATGTTATTGGGGTTGAATGTCTGCAAATGATTTTGCTAGGAAAATTTGAATATTTCATTTTGTGGTTTATGATCACGTCTTTCCAAATTTTGGCTTTTTTTATTCATTCATGGGATGTGGTGTTGCTGACTAGGCCAGCACTTATTACCCATCCCTTGTTGCCCTTGGGAAGGTGTTAGTGAAGTGCCGCCTTGAACTGGTGTTGTCCATGCTGTGGTTCATGTGCTTTAGGTAGACCCACAATACCATTAGGGAGGAAATGCCAGGAGTTTGACTTAATGACAGTGAAGTAATAGTGATATATTTCCAAGTCAAGCATGCGAGTCGCTTGGAGAGAAATTTGCAGGTGTGGTGTTCCCATGAATCTGCTATTCTTTTCCTCCTTGATGGTCATGGGTTTGTAAACTGCTGACTAAGGATCTTTGAGATTTTGCAAACCATCTAGGAGATAGCAGAGATAGTAGGAACTGCTGATGCTGGAGAATCTCAGATCACCAGGTGTAGAGCTGGATGAACACAGCAGGCCAAGCAGCATCAGAGGAGCAGGAAAGCTGATGTTTCGGGACGGGACTCTTCTTCAGAAATGGGGGAGGGGAAGGGGATTCTGAAACAAATAGGGAGAGAGGGGGAGGCGGATAGAAGATGGATAAAGGAGAAGATAGGTGGAGAGGAGACAGACAGGTCAAAGAGGCAGGGTTGGTGCCAGTATAGGTGAATGTAGGTGGGGAGTTAAGGAGGGGATAGGTCGGTCCAGGGAGGAGAGACAGGTCAAGGAGGCGGGATGAGGTTAGTAGGTAGGAGATGGGGGTGGGGCTTGAGGTAGGAGGAATGGTTCAGGAGGCGGGGACGAGCTGGGCTGGTTTTGGGATGCGGTCGGGGGAGGGGAGGTTTTGAAGCTTGTGAAGTCCACATTGATATCCTTGGGCTGCAGGGTTCCCAAGCGAAATAGGAGGTGCTGTTCCTGCAGCCTTCGGGTGGCATCACTGCAGTAATGCAGGAGGCCCAGGATGGACATGTCGTCCAACGAGTGGGAGGGGGAGTGGAAATGGTTTGCGACTGGGAGGTGTAATTGTTTGTTGCGAACCGAGCGCAGGTGTCCCACAAAGCAGTCCCCAAGCCTCCGCTTGGTTTCCCCGATGTAGAGGAGGCCACAACGGATACAGTATACCACATTAGCAGATGTGCAGGTGAACATCTGTTTGATGTGGAAGGTCTTCTTAGGGCCTGGGATGGGGGTGGGTGTAGGGGCAGGTGTAGCACTTGCTGCAGTTGCAGGGAAAGTGCCGGGGTGGTGGTGAGTATGGAGCAGACAAGGGAG